AATTGTTAGGTGATATATACAAACATTTCAATTTTTTTCACGTAATGGACATTTGTTATGCTAACTAGACATTTTGTTTGGCACTAAATCACTTCATTTAAATATCCATATATTGGTGAATAAAAATTGTCAGTGCGTATGGATTTACTGAAATATATTGAAAAAAAAATCTGCTTTAAAATTAAATAGTATGTGCAATGATCAATGTGTGAATTGAATGAAGAAATCAAAACTATTTTCTTTGATAATAAATATTTATATAGTGCTTCGCTTTATAAAAAAAATTCTTAAGCTGTGACGATTTTGTATAAAAATGACTTCATAAAAATCAAACGATCTATTACGGATTTTTAGCAATTTTAGCTCCGTTAACGGAAGTGGGAAAAGTACAGGAAAACTCTATTTATTGATTATTTTATTGTTTTCCGAAAAACATTGCAAAGGTATATATTGCAGATAAGTAATATTTTTTAAAAAAAATGATTTAGATTTAAATTTTCCTTCTTTTAGACCATACAAAATGTCTTTTTGAGAAATATTAAATCGTTACATTTTTCTAGTGAATAATTGTTTTAAATTTCTTATGAAAATGGAAAGTGCGTTAATGTAATAAAGATGACGTTCGTAATATTTTTTTTTATCTAAGAGAAAAGAAAAAAACTTATTTGAGTTATTTTTAAAATTAAAGAAAAGAATTTTCTGAGTATCTCTTTTAAACTTTTTCTGTTAACTTTTTCCTTCCTTTGTAAGTTTATTTCAGCCGTATAATTTTAATCTTTTTTTTTTCTTCTAAAGATTGCATTATTAAGATTCATATCTGGCAACATGCAGATATGTTCTTTTTTGCTACTTTTGATTGAAATCTAATCGATTGCGAATTATAAAATAAAGAAATGTTGTTATTGTTGTTTCCAATGCTACTTACCACTCTGGCAAGCCTGCTTGGTGAAACCGAGAAAATTTTAGGCAGAGTGTGCGTTTCTTGTTTTTCAGTGGCGCCATCTATGGCCAGAAATTCAACAAAGTAAAGAAATAAAAATCTCGAAGGAAAAATTAATTTTCTACAACAATAAACAAATGCATATTTAAAGGGAAGAAATTTACAAAAAAGCACTTTTGCAATAACTTTCGTACAGATTGTAATATCGGAACAAAATTCGTGTTACATTTACAAATAAAAAATGCTCTTTCAGCACGTTAATAACTCCGTAATTGAATTTCAGCTAGCTGCAAATCAGCCTAACACGGCATTTTTTTTGCAACTTTAACAGTTAATAATTCCTGAACTAATTATCAAATCTTATTTTTGTTCAATATCGCCTTACACCCTGTACTTTTTTCTGCACGTTTCCATAATCTTTAACTTCTAACTCTTGTACATTTTGTACAGAAACGCAAAATGTATCGTAAAGCGAAAGAAGGGAGAAGAAGAAAAAAAATGCCATTTTCGAACAAATTGGATTGTAGAAAAACAACTGTTTTAAGTTCATACTGCAAGTCCCGTTCAGAATACCAAATATCAACTATGTCGTTGCATTCCTCCCACCCGTGTGTTATTTTTTCCTATAATTAATAATTCTCAAACAAATTATTATCGAAACGAATTTCTATCAAATGAAATTTTTTTTATTTCGTCGTAATCTCATCAGTTTTCTGCGCACTTCTTCAGGTTTCTAAGTCTTAAATCTAACACGAATTATTATGAATGTTATTATGGAAAGGAATTTTTATCGAATGAAATTTTATTATTTCATCGCAATCTCATCATTTTTCTTCACACTTCTGCAAGTTTCTCAGTCTTAGTTTCTAAGTCTTAAATCTAACACGAATTACAATGAATGTTATTATCGAAACGAATTTTTATCGAATGAAATTTTATTATTTCATCTTAATCGCATCAGTTTTCGGCACACTTCTTCAGGTTTCTAAGTCTTAATTTTAAAACGAATTATTATGAATGTTATTATTGAATCTAATTTCTATCGAATGAAATTTTATTATTTCATCGTAATCTCATCAGTTTTCGGCACACTTCTTCAGGTTTCTAAGTCTTAGTTTTTGCTCACCAAAACAAAATGTAACGTTAAGTTAAACACCCAAAACAGCGGCGACGCCCTTTACAGTTTTTTAATATAGAAAAACGTTCGTTTTTTTTCTCATTACTTGGGCAGACGAACAGGTTGTTGTTGTATTTGTACTCTTCTTTGTGTTTTTTATTTGCTAAATAAAAAAATAAAAAAAAGATCAATCATAATTTTTTACTCAAACATATTAAAAATATTTTTTTAAACTATATTTTTTATTATAATATCATTAAATAGTGATTATTTAATTTTTTTCAGACATTAAAATTGCTGTATTGTACATAAACATCACATCGAGTTCAAATAGCTGTTTTTAAAAATAGACACGCTATAATTAATTTTGAACAGATTGCTTCTACTACTCAAGTTAAATGAACCGTAAAATAACAGCGTTTTGCAATAAATTGAGTCATCAATATAAGTTTTTGTTTTTCCCATTTCATGCAAACAACTAATTTCCAATAGGCTACAGCCCATGGTGGATATTTAAGTCAAATGTTCACAGCTGAGTCTTAAAAACTAAGGGAAGAGCACAGGATAAACATCAGGAGGCCCCGCAGCCTGTTCTAGACATAGACCTCCCAAGTTGACCTTGGTCTTTTTTTTTATTTTTTATCAGGTATGCTGTTTTTGTTTTTTTACCTGGCCTGTAGTGCAGCATATTGATAGTTTCCATTAAACGGGGAATGCGTTTTGGTAGATTGCTTTCTTCGCGGTATTGATAATTTCGTCAGATGTATCATTTGGCGAAGGTATTGGATAATTGGATTGTAGTGCTCTGATTGGGATAATAATTTTTTGATTGCTTTTTAGCATCGATAAATGTAATTCGCTGATTTTATTTTGAGCTTAATGGCTGTTTGAGAGAAATTCTTCTTTGGGAGTTGAAATTAAAATATCCAAATCGAAAAATCGTGGGGACATTGTCGCAGAACGTTACCGAGTTCTTGCAGAAAGAATTTTCCTTTGGGAAGTAAAAAAATTAGCTTTTCTTTCCTGCAGAAATTTCGAAGAAAAGATTTTATCTTTTCTGCAGAATTATATTTAAAAGATGCCTTTCTCGTGCATCGGAGTGGAGAAAACTTATGATTTTTCTATTATCATTTGAGAATAATGAAAAAATAAAGTATTATGAAGTAAAAAAATTTAGTTTTCTTTTCTGTATAAATTTTCGTTCTATTTTTTCATGCAGTTATTACCGCTTTTAAAATCCGATATTTTTTAATACGATATTATTTATTACAACAACTGAATCTCGAAATGAAAACACGCATTTAGTAACCCCTTTTAAAGAGTCTAACATCGACGTCGATCTCTTTTTTTTCTCCGGTAGTTACTGCTACGGATTTCATGATTTTTTTAAATTTTTTTTAATGAGATGATGAATTACAAAATTCGAAAAAGAAACAATTAGTATGTTATCTTCCTAGAAAATGTAAGAATATTGCCCATAATATTAGAATAAAAAAAATAAAAAATTACGTATTCAGTTAAGCAAATTATTTTTTTTGATCCGATTTATTTATTTGAAGTTAACGCTTATGTTACTTTAAATTAGTAACATGTATATTTGTTATTTTTAAAAGTATCTTGCAGAAAGATATTACCACTAGAGAGGTATGTCGCAGACAGCCCGAAAATTTTTTGCCGCAGGGATCCAAAAATTATCATCCACAGTGCGAAAATTATCTGTTTGTGTTTACTTAATTTACGTTTATTTAAACTTATTAAATTATGTCAAAGTGTATCTAAATAGTTTAAAATAAAATAAGTAAAAATTAAATAAAAATTTGACATGCCGCTATTTTGTTTTATTCCAATAAATCGAAGTCAAAAGGAAAGAAAAAAAATCCCTCTGATGGTTTTAATTTTCTAATAGAATGCCTTTCAATATTTTAAACTTATAAACACTTTCTCATATTGCTTAAATTGCGTTTAATTATAATAAAGTCAGTTTTTACGGGGTGCTCATGAAAAATTTTATCAAAAAAGTTCTATTTGTTGCTAGGCGTTCTAAAAGTTCTATTTGTTGCTGCTGGTGGCAAAATATTTTTCTATTTATTATAAGCCACAGACTTGTTTGAGAAATTTTCCCTTGAAAAGTACCATTCAAAGTACTCGCAGGGAAAAGTACTCTTCAAGATCTCGTTGGTTGAACACTTCATGTATAAATGACGGGGGGGAAATGGCGAATTTCGCTGTATTTGAAAAAAAAGACTTCGTTTTCATTATTTTAACAAAAATTTCATTACGTAAAACTGTTGCAAATTACGAGTTAAATAGTAACAATTTATGACGTAATACTTAAGGAGTTGAAAAACAAATTTTGAATATTATTAGTTGCTCAACCAATGAGATCTGGATTTTACTGAAAATTTTATACTACGCACAGTCTACTAATACAAAGAATTTAAAACATTGTGTAGTCTTGTGGTAGAAAGCAACTGCGTTATAATCTATAATTTTGCACCAAAATAAGAGAAAGTCAGTGTTTATAAGGAAGTGAAACTTAAAGCATGTGATAGAAAATTCTATTAGATTTAGAAACATGTAATGGAATCCATTACACGTTTCTAAATTCAATAGAAATTTTCTGTCGTACCTTTAACTAATTGAACACTCATAATTATAAATAGTGTTGAAATTAGATGAAATATTTTTGTTTTATAATTATGCACAGAATACAATTAGCTTAAATTCGAAACTAATCGAATCAAGAATGCGAATTACTCACCGAAACGTTTTATCAAAGCAACGTTGTAATCTTTTTTTTCAAGATAAATATATCCTTCACTACAGTAAATTGTACCCTTCCATATCCTTATAATTCTTAATTTAGCTAAGGTAAATGATTTCATTTATTGAAAATGTTCAGTTCAAAATAGCGGTCAACTGAAGTTTCATTTTTATTTACAGGAAACATGTTATCAGCGTCTAAGAATACACAGTGACAACAATTCAAGATCATCGAAGTTTATCAGCAGGTCCAGATCGGATCGAAGTCGTCGCCATGAATTCGAAGAAAATTTCAACGTGCGGACAATTGAGCTGTGCTTTGAAATTAACCATGGCGTCCATTAGATGATTAAACTGTGATATATACTTCTTTTTAAATTGACAGCCATGAAGCTGAAATTAAGGACTTTATATTCTCCATGTGTATGGGGATATTATTGTGTTCTGTGGTTCCTGTGTTCAATTCACCTATCTGCCGGGTTTGCAGACTCAAAATTGATAACTAGAGAAGGTATGTAATTATAATTTTTGTAAACTTTCTTTTTGTTTAGTATGTGCACCTTGAAAGTCATGAGAAATCATGGAGAGTCATGGATTTCGGTATTGAACAAAATTTGTCATGAAATGTCATGCTTTTAACTATTTAAAAAAAAAAAAATCATGGAAAGTCATGGATTTAGGTGGCCGAAAAATCTAATTTTTAAAATGGAATTCCCCCCCCCCCAAATTTCTGAATGTCTGAATTTGTAACAAAATCTCCACTCACAATCATATTTTACTAAAATATTTTTATCATGTTCTTTAAAAATCATGCTGTTCTTTCAAAAAATGAAAGAAAGAACATCATTTCAAGTGCGAATTATCTTTTTAATTTCTGTGATTTCAGAATTTTTTTTATTTATTTCTTATTTATTTTATCAATTGAAAATTCTAGCTAAAGCAAGGCAGTCATTGGCGAATTTATTTTAAATTCCGAAATGAGAACAGAAAAATCACTAATATTTCTTTCCTGTCGGATGAACAAGAGAAGTATCTTTAGAAAATAATTCTGCAGAAAAATAATAAGAAGAAAAATGTGCTTTTTTTTTCCAACTATTTTATTGCTTTAACTCTTTCTTTTTAGTCTATTTTTTAAATTTAAAATCTATAAATATGAAGATGCATAGTATAACAGTTTCGGTTATACCTATCATTTCAATTAATGTTATTATAATGCTTTTTTAAATTCATTGTTGTGTTTTTTGACGGGGAAAATAGAGTAACTTCATTAAGTCTTGAAAAATTCTTGGAATAGTTCATGAAAAGTGATGGATTTGAAAATCTTAAAATGTTACAGATAACCTGCATTTGATGGTTCTTTAGGTTTTAAAAAGTTTAAAAGTGTGAAATCGGCCAAATGACTTCGTTACTGAGTCCTACTTAAAACTTTAAAACTTGTAATTTATAAAACTATCATTCTTATCTGTTGCGACATTCGGACTAAATATTAAAAATAAATAAATTACAGCTTTAATTAAGATTGAGGGAATGAAAATATTTATATACCAAGCTTTTATGCATCTATTTCCTCCATTTAAATTTATTTAAAAATATATTTTCTCACTTATTGCATTGCAAAAATAGCATTAGAACCTGTCCCAAAAGCGGCGCCATTCAATGATATAAAAACTTTAAATTGGTTTTAAACTTTAATGTTTATTTTTCTAGATGTTTTTTTTTTCTGATTCAAATCATTTGTTAAAACGTGTAAACAGCACTAACTGTTAAATTTATATTTCTGCAGTTAATTATAAATTTTAAATGTAATTCAGTTATTTGTCGCATTTTGAAAACATTTAGGTCAACTTGCGTGCAAGTATTTCAAGACTTGTCGGTTCTGGGCTTTTCGTTGCTAACTTTAGACATTTCTTGTTGTAAAATTATGAAGAAATTTAATAATTTCTTCAGAATTCATCAAGCTAATATAAATAGTTTTTTCTTGAAAAACTACGAAAAAGTTTTTTTTCTTTAATAAGTTATGATGAAAAACTGATATTTGTATCTCGAGACTTTTTTGTTGTAAAATTATGGGGGGAAATATTGTTCATTTTCGCACTTATCCTTTTTTATTTTAAAATTTTGACCGATTTTAGATCAGTCAATTGTAAAAAGTTTAAAAAACCTGCATGATTTTTTATTTAGGGTTGCTAATTGCTAATTTGAACCATTTTCAGTATTTAAAAAAATTTTTTTTTTTAAAAATTACTTCTATTGTAAAATTATGAAAAAATGTTTTGGGAAGTTTCGTCTCTTGATATTATATCAAACTTTGGATCCATTAATATGGTTAATTGAATAAACCATGGGGGTTATTTACGTAGTGTGAGGTGGGTACATGGGTGTATAGAAGAATAAAAATCAACTTAAGTTTAAGTTAAAAACAAGCTAAAGAATTTATTTGATTATTAATTTTGCTAGTACTTAGCAGAAGGTGTGTGTATATATGTAGCATAAAAAGCTTCAACTAATCTTTTTATGTTATTCCTTGTCTGTAAATCTTTTTCTTAATTTATTATTCAAAACGAAACGCTCTTTCTCACACTTTAATATTCACATCCCGTCTTTTAATCTATTTTTATTTCAAGAATGCATTAATTAGCATTTCAAAATTTTTCCCTTTCCAAACTGAGAGAACCCCGCGACCTGTTTAATAGACCAATTACAATTACTGAGATTTCCCTTATTCCCTAAAACGAGACATTTTACGGATTTACTTTGCAAGATTTTCCCTAACTTTCATTGAGGAGCACATCCATTTTGTGTCACTTTGATGATTGTTCTCTCTCTTGTAATTATTAAATAAATATTGTACCCCTCTTTCCATGCCTGAGACCTGTTTTTAGCCTTCCACTCGGCAAAAACGTTAGATCTTGGACATATTTTCGTTAGATATATTTTCTGTCGAAAATTGGGCACACGACTAACTTTGAAACACCTGCATTAGCATAAGTTATCTGAGATTTTCATTGCTAAATCTATAGACATTTCCTATAACAAAATTCTGAAAAAAATTTCGTATTTCGTTCAAAATTATGAAATTTTTTTTGATTGTTAATTCTACATATTTCCTGTTGTAAAATTTTGAAGAAAAAAAATTTTTTTTTTTTTTTTACAAATTTTTTTCGATATTTTTTCTTAGTAGCTTTAGATTTGTCTTGTTTCTATAAATTCAGTTCAATTCTATTTCATTTTTAGAGAGGAAAATAAAAAAAAAAAAAAAAAAGCACCGCCGCTGTGATTTGTGGTGACATTAATAATACTTCTTTTTTTTCCCTTTCAAAATTGCTTTTGATTTAGGAATACCGGAAATTAAAGTTGTCTTTTGGCTGGTTGTCTTTATCTTTCTTGACAAACCGTGACGCCAAGTCAGTTTAACGTCTCACTTTAAATCTCTTTTCGTCCTCTTTTTAGTACCCAATATGACTAACTACCGTTTTGTAAGGACTATGGCGGTGGCCTTGTGTCTGCGTACTCACATTTTATATAGCATTATTTACAAAACTTGTTTTGGAATAAAGGTTTTTATTTATTAACTTATTTATTCTTTTTTTGTAAATGAAAAAGATATTGCTTTCCTTTACAAGATGCCTCTGTGTAGTGTTGTTCAAGTGTTTTTTTTTTTTTTTTTTTTTTTTTTTAAATTGTAAATAATGTTTAAGTATAATGTTAATTTACCCTTTAAACTTTTTAAATAGGTAATTTTAACTCTTCAAATAGAGAGCATTTTTTTTATCTTTGTTATTTAAACTTGTCAGGGTGCGTAGCGTTTTTAAAAAGTGCTTAAAGGTGCTTATTTTTGATTTTCGTCTTTTAAAAGCCTTAAAGGTGCTTTTTTCATTGGGTGTTTTTAAAAATTGCTTAATTTTCCCTTTTTCAATATGAGATTTTTCCTTTACCATGGTGGTTTTCGCTTCGAATTATGCAAAAAGACACGGTTCACATTGTTCTATTCAACGCTTTCACAATTATTTCAACCTCTATCTATTTCGGCGTATCGTCAGTCCGTAGCATATGAAAACTCCATTCGTTTTACATGATTCAAAATTTCAAAACGATGCCAAAAGGTTTATTTAATTTAATTTATTTTTTTTTGACATGACGGTTAAAACAAGATCAAACCGTCAATTGTCAAAAACTTTCCAACCCTGTCAAATTATGTTTTTTTTTTTTTTTTAAAGTGCTTGAAAGGTGCTTAAAAGGTTCTTATTTTTTGTTGAATAATTTGGCTACCTGACTTGTTCAAATTTAATTAAATGTTTGATTGACAAAATCTGCTTTCAATTAAAAATCTGGGATCGTTATTAAATAAATTAAAAGTGCAGAACGAAGATTTTTTTTAAAAAGGAAAAGAAAGGATGGTCACAGAATAGAATTTTTTTAAAATCAATTTTGAAAAAAAAAGAGGGAGGGGGTTGAGGAATTTAATTAAAATAACCTAAAAGTCAGAGAAAATAAATGATGCCGTGAAGTTCAATTTTTTCCCCCTCAAAAATAAATAAATTGGTCTTGTAATAATTTTTTTTTTTAGAAAAATATTTTTTTTTATAACTCAAATAGCGTGTTTTGTAATATATTTTCTGTAGGTGAATAAGGCTTAACTATAAAAAATGAGCAGTACAATTTTTGCCACTGTTTATGAAAATCAGGGAAATCCGATAAAATCGCTCTGAAAAAATTAGGTGAAAGTAATTTTTCTTTTAAGTAAGTCTCTTAAGTAATTTTTTAAAATTTTTTTATTTCCCTTTCGTAATAAAATGCCACCATTAAATGTGTTTAATTTTTTATTTTGAAAAAAGGGAAGAAAAATCGTAATGAATATTTCTATGAATTATTTAAACTCTAATGTAAATATTATATTCAAACATGACAAAATTGACTTTCCACTTTTTTGTTTTAGAAAAGTATGTAACAAGTATTTTTTCCCCTTCTAGCTTTCATTATAAAATTTAAACATGTCTTGTTTAGTTCTAAAGAATATATATATATTTTTTCGTTTATAGAAAAGGCAACGACAAGCCTCTTTTTAAATTTTTTCCATCGTTTGTTGTTGAAAGTACCTATTCCCATATAAGTGTGATAGGAGGCTTCGTATAAAGTACATATCTGGAAGCAATAGCAAGGAACAGTTTGGTGCAAAATGCCATCTTAGGAAAAAACGTTGAACTCCTCACTATATGTATTTTCCCAAACCTTTCAAATGGTCCATCAGTTTTGTACATGATATTATGAAACGGTAGCACTGTTTTTCTAATTAATTTCTTTAAAATTGTGCAAAAATATAAATAATTTTTTTTTCTAGGATCGAATTTTTAAATGTGAAAAGTGTCTCCTGGTGATTTTTCTTTTCGCAAACCGTCTTTTAAAACGTTCTAAACGTATTGACAAGTAATAAGTTTCCTCTAAAAAAGCAATTTTTTTTGTGAATTTTTAAAATTATAAATTTTAAAAATTCACCAGTTGCGCTAAATTTTCTCAAACAACGAATTTTCAAAATAAATAAATATATAAATATTAATAATAATGAATAAAAAAAAATAAAAAATAAATATAAACTCTATAAATTAAGACTCTTTAAATTTTAAATTAATTGAGCTTCATTGTAGTTTTTATCAGAATAAATTGGCCAGTTAATTGTGAGAATAATAAATGATTACAAATGTTATTTTCAGAATGGTGACGTTGTTGATTAAGTATTAACCCTAATAAGGTTTTTTATTTCGTTTTATGCATGACCTATTTATTTCACATACAAAGTAAACATTACTTTTCGTTAAATGTATTGTCTGAGAGAACAACTGTGGAATTTATTTTTTTAAATTACTTTATTTGTTATCAGAAAAATCACCAAAAAAGCTTATTTTCTGTAAAAACAATATTATTTCAAAATTAGACCAGTCCTCGCAACACACAGCGCAGATGGTTGTTTACGTTCCATTAAATTAACTATTATACAAGTATTATTATACTTGTTATAACTATTATACTTGTATATTTAGGTATAATGGGAAATACGCAATTACTTTATAAAAAAATTAGGCAGAAATACTTGCAATTCTATAATAATTGGCTTCTTTGGCGCAGATGGGGGCACTAATGACCCTTTTATGTATATATTTTTTCTGATTGCTGTAATTATAAGTAAAAATATATTTTTGTATTTTTAAATTTTCAGAAAATAGTCTAGTGGTTACTATAAAAAGTTCTGTTAGATTATCTGGAATTATATTTGTTCTGAAATATAAAATCCAGAGTAAAGGAGTTTAAAAAAAGAATTTTTTTTCCGTTCAAATTTAAAAATTTATCAATAATTTATATTGTGAATTAAAGAAATTGCATTGATGAATTACTATTTCTCTTAGTTCTAATTAAGTGCAAATTAAAAAAATTTTGTTTGATGCTGTATGTTTTGTAAACCAAGAATTATTAAAATGCTAAATATAATTATTATTTATTTTTACCTAAATTATTAAAAAAATAATAAAAAAAGTATGAAAATTATATTTAAAGAAAATTCTGTTATCAGTTAGTGTTTAAAATTTTTTTTACCAAAAATTAGTCGTGATGATCCAGCAAGGTGGCATATGAAATTATCAAAGCTATTATAAAAATCCTCTAAAAAAGATTTTTTATTATCATGTTTGTCTTGTTTCTATTTCTATTTTGCCTCGATAATTTTTTTCTCTATTTGGCGGAAACAATTAATTTCTTTATTGACATATATTTAATTGTACAACTAAATGTTTGATTTTTAAAAATATTAATAAAAAATAAAAAATTTTGTTGAAGGAGTGTTATAAAGTGTTACGTTGTTATACATTATCTATGATTGATTTTATGAAAATGATTTATTTTGAAATTTAAATTTAATAAGATTGATAAAAAAAAAATTCGTATTTAAATTTTGAAATTCAAAAATTTTTTGTAGACAAAATAATATTATTTTCAGAGCACATAATGTTGACTGTGAAAAGAATTTTAATTTTCACGATTTCTTTTAAAAATAGTCTTAGAAGAAATCATAAAAAGTTATCTTATGATCTTGCGTCAAATTTGGAAGCAAAATTTCACGGAATGTTAATTAAGTTAATTTTTGGTTAGTTTTCTTATAAATTCTTTCAATTAACAATCAATTCATAAAATAAATTGAGATTATTTTATAAACAGTTATAAATTTACAAAAAAAAAAAAAAAAAAGTGCTTATATTATTCTGGGAGAATATATGGATATTTTTTATAATCAAGCGATCATATTTATTATTTTTATTTAATGCTATTAAATTATAACGGTGTCTATTCATCTGCAAAAAAAAAAAAAAAAAAAAAAANAAAAAAAAAAAAAAAAAAAAAAAAAAAAAAAAAAAAAAAAAAAAAAACGTTTTAATTTCAAAATAATTTTTTTCCAAATTAATTCATTTTAGAAATTTACTAGAATTTTATTCCCCCCCTTCGCCAATTAAAAAAATTTTTGTGTACTTTGCAATTATTATTCAGCTAACTATTTTGCCTCAAAAACGATCACATCACTAATTCTTTTTCAAATATTCACATAATATTTATCTTGGCATTCAAAGTCAGGATAATATATTTAGTATGGTGGCCAAGATATTTATACATCTTATCTGTATTTATATTTTTCCTTGTAGATGGCAGCACTACAGCTAGTTTTTCTACCTTCCTTACCATAAATTGTAAACAAGTCGTTTTCTCCTCAATGATTGTAAAACAAAATAATTTTACATGCACTTTTATTTTAGCTTACTATGAAAAATGTGTTAGCTAAGCACAAAATGTTTTTTGGGGCAGGATGAATTTTTTTGGACAGTACGTAAGAACTGAAGTTGATAATATTTTTCTTGAAGCATGTTTGTTAACTTCAAAATCAATACTTTAAAGAAAAAGAATTATACAATTAAAGCCTAATTTCTTTTATCTATTTAATTTCAATTGGTTTATAATATCATTATTTATGCATGCTTATATTTTATTGTGAATAAGTATTACATATTTTAACTGACATTGACAAATTTTTATACTTGTTTTTATTTTTATTTGTATGTCATTAATATAATTTCTGAATAAATTTTATTTTCTATTTAGATATTAAGTCTTCTGTTGAGGTTTTTAGTCAAACAAATGTTAGATCATTTGGTCAATTACTCTTTGATATTCAAAGGTTTCAACTCATTGTAGGTGCAAGGTAAGTTTTATTCCCTCTTGATTTTTCACCTTTAAATGTTAAACAAACAAAATATATAAAAAGGGATGGAAACTTTACTTTGTGTATTCATTTAAAAGAATCAAATTTTTTATATTTTGATCTTTTTACAGGGATTGTAGAAGCGGGGAGGTGGGACTTTAGCCTTCTCAATTTTTATAAAAGGTTACATAGCCCCTTCTAAAATTACAATCTTTCACTTAATATTAGAGTAATTTAATTCACAATTTAAAAAAAAATTGTGTCAGAAGTTTAAAAAAATGTCTCTAAATCAAGTAATCTTTTACATTTGCTTGGTGAAAACTGCTACTAAATAATCTCTTACTCGTCCTCGCACAAAGGAAGTATCCATCCTTATTCCTGTCTGATGTGAAAATTCTTTGTTTTATATGTCACAGTAAATAGAATAAAAATAAATACTATAAAAAGATTATATATATATAATAGGATATCTTTTTTATTCATTTTATGATTCATTATATTACAAAGATTTTAATTTTGCATGATTTGATGATTATATATTTTTTCATAATAACTAAAGTATATTAACTCTGTAATTACTGTGAAAATTAAATTTAAAATGAAGGATTATATGTAATATTTTAATGGGCATATATTAGGCTATTGTTATTCTGTTGTGGTCTATTTTTTAATGAAATGTCTTATTTGGCATGTCTCTTTTTTTTATTTTTTATTTCTTTTATGTTAATGACAGCCATCATTAAGTCCATGCTTTTTTTTTTTTAAATTCTGTGCTTTGTTTTTTAGGGATTATTTATTCAGATTAAGCTTAGAGGGACTTAAAAAATTAGAGGAAGCTCATTGGTCTGCGAAGTCTGAGGATGTTCTTATGTGCAAACTAAAAGGAAAAAGTGAGGTTTGTATATTAAATTGATTATTTGCATTGTTGTAAATGTTATTACTTTACATTATAGTTAATTTATAGGATAGAATGATAATTAATTTACAAGACAAAATTTTTTTTATATTGTAATGCTATTTTTATTAACTTTATATATTCTTGTAAGTTTTTTTGTATTTGTTTTCAAAGTTAAACTTATTTTTTGTGAAACTTTTAGAGAAAATCCATTTATAAATGTATTTTTATTATTTAAAAATAAATAAATAACCGTGCTTCTTTACCTTGTTTATTTTTCTCTCCATATTCGAGATTGTGACTTTTATATTTATTTTAATATAATAATTTGTAGTTGAACTAATATTTATTTTTTAGGAAGATTGTATGAATTATATAAAAGTGTTACTGAATCACGGAAATAAGTTATTTGCATGCGGTACAAATGGATTTTCGCCTGAATGCTCTTGGAGAGATGTAAGTAGAATGCCTTCATTCTTTCCTTATGCGTAGGTTTTAAGAAGTATTCTTTTCTTAAAAGCAGGGTCTGCAAAATTCAGGAATTTTTTTTAAATCAGATTTATTTTATTTATATCAGTTTTTTTTTATTATAATTATTTAAAACAATTTTTTTCTTAAATTTGCTCATCAAATTATCTGATATATGTATTAATATTATTTAAAACAATAATAATGTGAAAATAGTTAATAATTCTGTTTTGTTTTTGTTTGTGGTATAACAATTTTCCACCCTTCTATTAAATAAATTGGTAACTTTTCTCCCTTTATAATAGTATGATGATTTTTTACAGTTCTTCGGCACAAATAAGAGCTAGTTTTTCATTAATTTGACTTATCAGTACATAACTTATTGTTTATTTCAATTACTATTAATTTTAACTTATTTAGTTTTTTAGAAAGCCCAATGACTGAGCGGTAGCGCTTCGCGCTGTCCTGCCACAGGTTCCTGGTTCGATCCTCGGGCCGGGCAAGGTTGTCTCAGCTTTTCATCCCTTCAGTGGGTCGATAAATGAGTACCAAGCATGCTTGGGAACTAAACACTGCGGGTTTCGCGTTCAGCTGACCACTTAACCGGAACATCTGCTCCTGCACCCCAGAGCCCAAAGGTCAAGAAAACTGAGATGGGCACAGTAGGCCTTGGGCCCTCTGTGGGCTGCCGTGCCGCTGAGTTTAGTTTAGTAATTTTTTTAGAAGTACATTTTGAAAGCGTAATTATAAACAAAATAAACATTTGGTTTCAGTTAATTCAGGAATACTAATTTAGTGACGTAGTCCTTCTATGCTACCACGTTCACCTCAATCATTCAGTTAATTGATTTAGTTAATATAGATCTAAGTTGATGTTACTTCAATTTACCTGTTCACTGGAACTCCTTCAATGATCAATGAGTTACAGATAGCAACCTTGATCACTCAGTTAATTGATTCAGTTAATATAGAACTAAGTTGACATTACTTCACTTTACCTGTCCACTGGATTAATGAGTTACAGATAGCAACCAATAGGAACAAGTTTCTATTGGGGGAATATAAATTTTTCAATATTAATGTTGCGAACAGAAACTGATTGATTTATTTCACTCAGTGATGATATAGTTCAACCTCTGTCTTGGACATATCTATAATTTTTTTTTTACATAAACGTGTATACTTTCATGCGTATACTTTTGTGAATCTTACCACTCTGTCTAAATTCTGCCTAACAGGTCTCCAGTGCTTGATGTGTATTTGAAATTAAATTTAGATAAAATATTTGCTTTTAATTTTTAAAATCTGTAAAAATCTGTTTTATTTATAAATGTTTGGCCATTGTTTCAAGGTACTAAAAATTACTTGTTTATACTCTATAGATTAATTCTTTGAAAACAAATGTGGAATATTTTGAGGGGAAAACGTTATGTCCGTACAGCCCATATGCCAACAGTACTGCGCTGATGACGACTCAAGGGGATTACTATCTAGCATCAACAATTGATTTTACTGAAACAGATCCTGTCATTTTCAAAGGCCAGGGGAAACCCCCGATTCTGCGTACAATTCAATATGATCCGAAATGGTTAAGCGGTAAGAAAATATTTTGTATTTTCTACCATAATCTGTAATAAAAATGTAAAATTTAAAGATTAGTGATTGCACTACAAAAAATAAATAACATGTTTATCTTCATGCAATACATACCGTCTTTATGCATGGGCTCACCCGGGGGCCCTTGAGAATCTTACTTTCTATAAATTGTATTAAAAAAGCTAAGAATAAAATTACCTTATATATTTTTTATAAACTTATATATTACCTTATATATTTTGTATATATTATATATATTACCCTATATATTTTGTAAATATTATATATATTACCTTATAATATATTACCTTATATATTTTGTATAAAGTGGGAAATTTTTTCCTACGAATAGTGATTGGTTATCATGCAAACACCAATAATTCGAATAGTTTATCAGCAAAGAAACTTAGGAAAGCAACCGAAATCTATTTTTCTACTTTCCATTGAAAATTTTAAGTGCTTCCAAAGTTTTCGAAATATTGAGAGCGTACTGTTGTATTTTATGAATAAGAAAAAGGCAGAACTCAATCGTATGACCCATTTCAAAAAATTGATTTTTTTTGTTTACTAGTTTTTTTTGAGTAAGAAATTTTTTTTAATGTGTGATTAAAAATTAATATCCTTGTTCCTTATTTGTCAATTTAATTGCTCTTTGCAGAACCAAACTTTGTTGCATCGTATGAAATTGAAAATTACACTTATTATTTCTTCCGGGAAGCAGCTGTTGAGTACATAAACTGTGGAAAAGTGAGGCACTTACATCATTGTTTTTTATTATTATTTCTTTCATTTTCTGTTTTCTTATTGCAAATTTATAATTACAGGCTATTTATTCACGAGTTGCCAGGATTTGTAAGAATGACCCAGGAGGAGATTTTCTTTTGAAAGGAAAATTTACAACTTTTGTGAAAGCTCGGTTAAACTGTTCTGTTCCGGGAAATTATCCCTTTTATTTTAACGAACTTCAAAGTGTTCATTTTATTGAAAAGGAAGAAATATTCTATGCAACGTTTACCACTCCCGTGTAAGTATCTGCAGTACCATTATTCTTCATTATGTATGAGAATTATTTTAAGATTTTTTGTTTTTGAATAATTGACTTTAAGCAATTTTTAAATGCATAGCTGAAAATTTCAGCTGTTGTAAGTGCTTAGTGATGTTTAATTTCTTACAAAAATATATATATTTTTATAGGAATAGCATTTATGGAACTGCAATTTGTGTGTTTAATTTATCAGCAATTGAAAATTCCTTCTCCGGTGTTTTTAAACACCAATCTACTGCTAAATCCACATGGGAAGCTCAAGCATCAGTACTGAAACACCATCAAGTAATAATAAAACTATTTTAATACTTCAAAAAAAAAAAAAAAAAAAAAAAAAAAAAAAAAAAAAAAAAAAAAAAAAAAAAAAAAANTTTTTTTTTTTTTTTTTTTTTTTTTTTTTTTTTTTTTTTTTTTTTTTTTTAAGAGTGCAAAATAATTTTTTCCAAATATCCTCCTGAACTTTTTCTAAAATTTGAACTTTTCTTTTCTGTTCAATTTTCTCTAGATTTTTATTTTATGAGCTGGTGCTTGTTTTTCAAGTGAAAATGTTTTAGTATCAAAAATCTAAAAGATGTTAAATTTTGTAACACTTTGAAAAGTTAAGAAGTTGAAATAAATTATTTTAAATTTGTTTTGATTAATTTCTCGTTTGGAATAAGCATTTAGTTTTAGGTTGAATCAGGTTTATGCAATTTCTCTCAGGCTTTTGAAGGCTTTATTTGAATAGCAGTCAGTCCTGGTCCATTTTTGTTCACTATGAGATTCAGATCCTGTACCTCTAATACAGGATGCTACAAAAAACAGCACAAATTTTTTTTAATATTACTTAATAATAAATAGATTAACAAACTTTAGTGCAGACTCTATTTTATTTATTTATTTTTAAAGAAGTTGCATAAAATTTTTTTTACCGGTTTTATTTTGGGTCTCATACTGTAAATGCATTGTTTTTTTTCTGTCTTGTCTAGTTTGTATTGCTTCTTTTTTGCATCAGAAATAGGTTATAATTTACTGTTCTTAAAATAGGAATGACTTACATGAACAAGGAAGTGACACTAACCCCATATTTTAATGTGTGGAGTCAGACCACTATTCAAATGGGTCTTCATTTAGTTTAATTGAATAACTATTTCATTATATGATTTGTTTCTTTTTTTAATGTTAAATTTTTTTTATAAAAATTTTATATACTTGAATTTTTTTTATTTTAAAAATTAGAACTTTTTTTTGAAATTGCACTTTGACTACTTATTTGCTCTACTTTTTCATGTATTGATAAAGGCAGTTTCTTAATCTCTTTTCGTTCCACTTCGTTTTTTCCTTCCTACTGTTTCCAAATTTTACAGAAATGTGTGTTCAATGTGACTATATCTAACAAATGTGTGACTCTATGTACCAATGTAACTTTTCCAAGTTTTTCATGACATGAAAGTTCTGATAAAACTATGCTCTTGTAGAGAAATTTTTTCGTTAAATACTTTAATTTTTAAATCATTCTAAGTCTGAAAATTTTAATGGTGTATTTCCTTGAATTATTTTGTTTTAACAATTTGTTATGACACCAGTTTCTTTTTAGCAACTTTGTTAACTGAGACTTTAAATTTTTTTACTCAAAAAATTCATATTAATTGTGTTATATTTCTAATATTTAATGCAATTATAGCGTCTTTTCCAGCTTGATGTGGCAGTTTTTCGTTAAAAAAGTAGAGAGAGAGAAATCAGATATTAATATATATTAATATGACCAGTAAAAAAGTAGCGCATTAAATTGTTCTATAATGTTTTAAGTGCAGAACTTGAAAAATGTTTTCTTATGGGGGAAAAAAAATACAGTAAACTTTTAGTTCATTTTCCCTACCATTATTGCTTGAAGGAAAAATTGTATGTATTACTCATTTAGTTTGTGAACATGGACTTATCAACCAGCATTTTCTAGGAAAGTTTAAATTTATTAAAAATGTTATTCAGACAGATGTCAAACACATCTGTAAGTAAAAAATTGAATTTTGTTGTTGTTGTAATGTTTGAACTCAACTATTTTAACATCTAAAATAATTATAAATATTTATTTTCCTCTTTCATAAACTTTGCTCCACTAGGAAAGAACGATAAAAGGATTAAAAAGCTGATACAAATACTATAAAAGATTATAATTTTATTAAGTTTTATTTTCACATTTTATAGGCAAAGTTAAAATTTTTTTTGGAAATTTCTTCAGAAAATTATTTTTAAATCAACAAAAGTCTAAAAGAAAAAAAAACTTCATTTAAGGTGTTTTCTGCTTTTAGATCAATCTTTATGATCAAAAGATTATTTTCAAAAAAAGACCAAAAGAATTTTTACTATCAAAATGTATTTTCAAGTATTGTTTCAATAATTTTTTTGCGAATATGATTCTCCCTTCCATATCTTTTCCCTTTTCCAAATATTGCATTTTTAAGTTTTTTTCTTCTTTTATTTGTTCATTCCCTTAATCAATTAAAAATGAAATTTGAGCTAATGTTTGTTTATTCTGTAAAAATTGGAAAATACCACAAAGGCACTTGATGAGTATTTGAGAAACTCGTTCAATATTGATAATTTTATACATGAATTTATACATTTTTAAAATATATTTCGTGCATATTATAGCATATTTGTTCACATAAATTATTTTGTTTTCTTAGTGTGGAGGTAATAAAACGGCTGAACATATATTGGATTCTGAAAAATATCAGTTGATGAACGAAGCTGTTCAGCCGATGACATCACACCCTATACTCAAGCTGGAGAATGAAAGGTATTATTTGTTGACACTTGTATTTTAAATAATCTTGTCAATCATAACTGTTTTCTTTTTTATGTATAAATTATAAAATATTCTCTTTTAAAATATAATTTTGAGTTTTTAAGTACTTAATTCAAGAAAATTTTACTAAATTAAAATACTAAAGATATGTAATCAAATTGTTATTACTGATTCAAAAACATGTGAAATATTATACAAATGTTTCAATTATACTTATTATTGTGTTGGTTAAATAATTGAACTTGTTCTCACAATATCACTTTAATTTGAATTTGACTACTGCTAAGAAAACACTTTTTTAAAGAGGATAAAAGTAGGCAGGTATGATGATTAAATGTCCAAGTATGTGAGATCATAAATATATGTCAAATGTATAAAACTATAAAAGAATTAAATTTTTTTAAAATTTTGATATATGAGGCCGGGACAGCCTGGTTGTTAGGGCACTGGGCCCATGTCCAGAGTTTGTGGGTTCGATCCCGCCGGCCAAAGTAAATGGTGACTAATGCACACTAAATCTGTCAAGTCGCAAAGTCCTCTATGTTCCCATAACATATTAATACCTCTAGAAGGTACTGATCCACGAGTTTCCTTGTCTTCGGGATTGGTTCAAAATTACAAGGCTACAGAGTTGAACATTAGCAGTCGTAAACCCAAAATTGGGTTGGTTGTTCAATGACGGATAAAAATTAATATATATATTTTATTATATATATTTTAATATATATAATTAATATATATAATTAATATATATATTTAATATATAATTGACTTTNAATATATATATTTAATATATATATTAATATAATATTATTATAACATATTAATATAACATAATTAATATATATATTTTATTAATATATAATCAATATATATATTTTATTTGATATAGTCTGTAAAATTCATGAATTTTATTTTTATGAATCATAACATGCTAATTTAATATTTTATTAGGTTTAATCATATTGTGATCGACACAGTGCAAACAAAATATTCAGATAGTGTTCATGTGATGTTTGTAGCATCAGTGGAAGGAGTTATTCGGAAATATGTGGTGATACCTGAAACTAAAGAGACCTGCTTAATTGAGAAAATAAAAGTATTTCCTGAAGGCAGTAATGATACTATTAAAGTTTTGAAACATCTTAAAGACACTGTAAGCAATTAATTAAAAATATCATATTTTAAAATGATCGCAATTTTAAGTTTTCATACGACATAAAATTTCATATTTATTTTAGAATTCTTTGTATATTGGAACGGAAGAAACTGTTTTGAGGATAATTGTCCACAGATGTGAAAGATTACACAGTAAAAGGTACATTTTTTGAAAAATCTAATTATCGCTATGTGTAATATAATTGAGTGAATCAGTGTACAAATCGATTTACTCTACTTTTAAGCAGTAGGTTTAGTTTTCCCAAACAGGGTTGCCACTCCACAGGGAGAACAGGGAATACCTGGAAAATACAGGGAATTAAAAAACCACCTAAAATAACAGGGATAATGCAGGAAATTTTGAATTTTTCTTTACAAACTGGGAAAATACAGGGAATTTTATTTCTTATTTTCGTTTTTTAAAAGTGGTGACAACTCAAAGTTTAATCTATGGGATATTTAAGGCTGATATTTCAGTTGTACTAAACTATTTCAGTTACTACAGCATGATTTGTTTTAAGTCTGTTAAACTGTTACTTATTTCTTTAAGTTTTTCCAGCAATTAAAACTAGTATAGCTAAAATATAGGTCACTCAAATGTGTTTCCTCTTAATATATTGTGTATAATACAGGGAAAACACAGCTAATTTTTTTTTTACTGGTTTGTGTGGCAACTCTGCCAAATAATAAAGATTAACACTGTTAAACGATAATATAAGATATTTTATGATGCATATTTATATAATATAAGGTATATTTATGTATATTATTCAATTAAAAACTTAAATTATAAGCTATATTTATGATCAACATAAATGTGATAAAGTTAAATATTTTGAACTTATGAAGCTATAACTGCTCCTGTTATGAATGTTACATATCATGCTAAGTTTTAATTTCAGCTTTTGCAGGTTTACTCTGTGATTTTTTTTTTTTGTGTTCATAAACAATCACTCATTCACATAGTTAATGTTTGTTTTCAAAAAATTTACAGAGAATGTCTGGCTGCTATGGATCCTTATTGTGGCTGGAATGAATATAAACTAGCGTGTACTGCCAACCCTAGTCGGAATCCTCGTGTCAATTTCTGGCATCAAGAAAGAACTGCTTGCCCAAATAAAAACATGCCAGGTTTGCATTTTTTTATCTCCATGTTCTAAGCTCTGCATCTCGACATGTATTTATGGTTAGGGCTGCAAGTTTGTCGTGGGAAAAAAAATACCAAATTCGCAGAGAAATCGCGGGAAATTTTGAAAATTACACAAATTCTAAACATAAAAAAATTTATTATATATATGATGCAAAAGACAGAAATTGCGCAATTAATAAAAAAAGCTTAAAAATACACAACGAAAGTATTTCTTTGAATTTCAAGCAATATTAATATTTTTATTTAAATGAACAGAATTTTGGTACAAAGTATTGTACATTGTCAGATTATTCTCATTTATCCTTCGTACATTGTCAGATTATCCTTCGTCTTTCATCACTTAATGCATTTTTATACTTAGAAAACTATCTTTCTGTGTCACCGCTGTTTTTAGGCACCGACAAACTTCAAAATGCCGATTTTGGAGCGTTCGGTCGTTGATTTCCAAAACTCGATCAATTTTCCTTGACTGTTGCTTTGTAAGAAGTAATTGCTGTGAAAACTCAAACATTCTACTTTCAAACTACTAGTTACAAATCCCTACTAACTACTAGTCCCCCCCCCCTTCATCTAAAAAACTGATCCATATTTAAGAAATCACAAGAAGCCGCCTAAGAAAAATTAACTGGATATGTCGCGGGATATCCACCGAATGAGAAAGGCAGTAGAAATTTCATTGCCCAGTGCAATAGCATGTATAACAATTTTTCTGTCAAAGATTTCATTTATAACATTTTCCTTCTTTTGTGATTCCAATTTCTTTTGTACTCTTACTGACTTCAGGAAGGTAATTACCCTCCCTAAGTGTAGAAAGACCATCTTAGTTGACAAGATTGTGATTATCTCTTATCTCTGAACTATTTTCATGTCATTTTGCTATTGATTCACTCCCCTAAATGTCTAATCAAGTTTACATGTTCAATTTAAGGTTCAGGAAAATAAAAAATTCTGTTTAATAGGAATAATAAATAAAAAATTTTAAAAAAAATTTAATTTTAAGCAATTTTCGCGCAAGTCAAGACATATTGAGAAATTTGCGGATTTTAGGAAAAAAGATGACAATTTCGCTGAAATGCAAGCCGCGACAAACCTGCAGCCCTATTTATGGTTAAGCTTTTTAATAACATGCATATTTCAATTGCAAACAACTCCTATACAAACTCAACCTGAAATGATAAATAAGTTGGTTAAAGTGAGTAATTTCTGAGAGTGTATCATATTAACTAAGTTATTTTTAAAAATTCATTATTATTAATAATTGCTGTCTATTTACTACCAAAGTTTATCTGTAAACATAAATAATGACTTGTTAATTTAATAGTCTCACCAATATAGCATTTTAAATATTTATAATTAATTAAAAGCCAGATTTAATACTTAAATTGTGGCAATTCAATTTTTTAAAATTCTTAATTTTTGCACCTTAAATATATCTTTGCGACACATATAATTAGGCAGAATATTTTGATGTTAAAATGATTTTATTAATATCAATTTTTAGAAGTACTTGCTAATTTTTCAACTAATTAAGTTTTAACTCTTATAACCTTCTTTAACATTCCTTTCTTTAAAACCTCATAAAAATATTTTAATTTCTTATTTCAAAAAAAAAAAAGTCATTTTTTTAAATTTAATCCATAAAATATAGTTTTAGTTGTACTTTTAAGAAATAAATTTTTTATTCAATAAAATGTATTTCATTCATTTTAGTTGCAGGGTAAGGATTTAAATAATTAATGAGCCTAATATGTTCCTCAAAAATATACTATTGCAATAGTAGCTGAAAATATATTTAGTTCCATAATATGTATTTTATTGAGGAACAAAATGTTTTTAAAAAATGTTCCGAAATATGGATGACTGAATAGATAAAAAATCCATTTAATTCTCCTTAAAATAATTTAATGACAGTAAAAACTAACTCTAGAGTATCTTTAAGTTACTGATAAATATAAGCCCAACTCACCTTGTCATGAAAAAGACCTGCATCAGTTTATAGGAATTAAGTGAACTCTTTAAAAATAATTGTAGAATTAATAAAAACCAACATATTTAATTAACCAAAGAAAGTGTAAGATAGTTAAAAACATCAATTCTGATTACGTATTAGGACTTAAATTCGGAAGCAATGTAGCTTCTCAGATTGCTTCTTAAGTATGAGAATCTACACAACACTACTAGCTCTGCCAACCGGACTGTGTAGGTGTCAAGGAACTGGCCTTGCATCAGGAAGGTTCTGAGTTCGAATCCCAGGCAAGGCATGAATATTTTTTCATTCTCTGTGCTATTTGTCCTTACTGTGGAAGCAACTTTGATGCATCTAATATGGGGCCTCTGAAAGAGTGTCCAACAAATTTGCCTTGTAAATGTCTGAATTGAAGAAATGTTAACACAGATGGGCATTAGAAATAAAAAAAAATTACAAAAAAACAAACAAAAAAGACACCTAGCTGTTGCTAGGTTTCTTGAATGTTCTGTTACCAGACTTTTAAAAATTAAAACAACTGAAAAATTATTAAGTTTACCGTCTGGTGTGATGTTTCATGCCACCTAGTGTCAGAAAAAGCAGTTCACTATTAGTTTCTACTTATTATTTATTGTTAATAAGAAAATGTGCGCACTTAGTAAGTGTATATTTTGTTATAGTTGATGGTGGCTGGGCTGCATGGAGTGGTTGGTTCGATTGCTCTCAAGTTGAAGAGGCACAGGCTATAGCTGGAGAGGCTGTTTTTGATGGTACTTGCCAGTGCCAACAACGTCAGTGTAATAGTCCAGCTCCTGCTAATGGTGGCAGAGATTGCCAAGGGACTTCAATTCATGTTGCCAACTGCAGTAGTATGATAATTATTTTAATACTTTGTCTATGGCTGTACATTTTAATTTTTGTTTATTCATACTTAAATACATTTTGGAAATTGTTTTGAATGTTTTTTTTATGTACATAATGGATTTAAAAAATACAATTGCACTGTATGCAATCGCATTTCCCCTCTATACTGTTTTGTAGTAGTAAACATGGCCAGATAGTGCTTAATTTTTCTCTTCATCTCTATATTATTTGAAGGAGCCTAAATACATCAAAGCTATAAACAATTTCTACTCCTTTGATTTACACTTAAATAGAATATATATATATATNTATATGCTAGCCCCTCGGATGATTGCCTTACGATAATTGTAGTTTCTTGGCAGAAAACAGTTTTTCTACTAAGGTCAAAATTAACTAAACATACATGCATTCAAAGAAATTCTGTTTGCTTATGCTTGTGCCCAGACTTCCAAATATTATCTGTAACTATCATAAATATTTTGATCTATTGGTAAACAGAAATAATTTTTCTAAGTTATCATTTTTTAAAATAATATTTATATTGATATAAACATATTGTTCTAACAAATTTGATTTTACAACCGTTATTTAATATTTTTGCATACCTTTTTGCTAGATAATTGTTAAAATGGCAAATTAAGTTGTTTTAAACTCCCTTTTGTTTTTACTTATAAAACGTAAGTATATTTTTTTTCTATATTTGATTTCTTTTTTTTTGCAGGAGATGGTCAATGGACTGATTGGTCAGCTTGGTCTTCTTGCTCTCAAACATGTGGTTTAGCAGTGAAATCTCGAAGACGAATCTGTGGTAACCCATCTCCTGCTTACGGTGGGAAAATGTGTATTGGACCAGAAACTGACCAGATTTATTGTACAATGAATCCACCTTGTCCAGGTAAATTATTAAAAAAAAGAGTTTAATTCATTTGAGAATCTATTGTTGACTGGACATTTACATTTCAACTTACACACTTTTAATGTTTTTAGTTTTTAAAAAAATCTATTCTGTCAGATCACCAAAAGTGCATAGCTACAAAAATGTTGACCTAAACAAGAAATTTTTGCATGTAAAATTATCTAAATGTATCTGAAAAGTTTTTCAATACATCAAATTGTAAATAGTAATGTAATCAAATCTAATATAATCAAATAATATATAATGTAATCAAACAGTAAAACTTCAATAATACAATGTGTACTATAAAATTTAGTGGATTGTGAAATTTTATAATATTTATTTTTTTCCTTGTATTATTTAAAAAGAAAATTTTAAAAATACTGGCATATTTTTTATCAACATAATGTAATTATGTTTCTATTTTTCATCATTTTAAAATCACAATGACGAAAACACTTGGCGAAAAAAGACAAGAACTTTTAATTTTTTTTTCATTAAGCTACAGATCTAATTATCTGTATGATGATAAACTTAATAAATACTGCTACGGCAAAATAAAACTGCTAGAGTATTTTTTAAAATTGAATAAAAACTGCCCTGGCTAAATTACATTGTTTGAATCTTTATTAAAATTTGAATTTTATTTTTAATAAATGTAATAAGTATTAAAAGATTAAAAATTGTCAGTTTTTTAAAAATTGCTTTCATGCAGTTTAAGGATTATGTTTCGCCATAAAAAGCATGTGAATTGCTGTGAGGCTATGTTTAGTTCTGAATGTGATGCTTCTGTATTGTTATTCTGCATTTGAAAATCACAGCCCACTTAACTGAAAATCAGATTATACTCTCAAATGTATATTTAGTACTCTTTATATTGTTTGATTTGTGTGAGAGAGCAAAATTATAGAAATTCGTTAACAAAATTCGAATGGGAAGTTCAACATGCAAAGTTATAAAAATTTGATATTAATTCTCATTGTAATTGTCCAAACTTTTTTACACTTTAGTTTACATTTTCTTGTTTGTATCACTTTTTTTGACCACACGATTGTTGTTATAACTTGACCAATTATTTCAAGATCTAGTGCCAATGGGATTTTTTTTAAAAATAAAAACAAGTTATAGCTAAGTTGAATAAAGTGGAGATAAAGGTCATGGTGTGTAGCGTTTTCAAAAAGTGCTTAAAGGTGCTTTTTTTAATTGGGTGTTATTAAAAAGTGCTTAATTTTCCCTCTATTCAACGTTTTCACAATTCATTCAAACACAATACATTTTGGCATACTTTTGGTCTGTAGCGCATGAAAGCACCAATCGTTTTACATGTTTGATGAAATACTTGTGGGTTCACGTTTACTGAGCTGGGTTTGGTGAGATTCGTGCACTCTTGTGTGCTACTCGGCTGCATTTTCCAAGATATTCTCAAATTCATTTTCCACCCTCAGAAATCGAACTGAAAAATCTCTCTTCTTATGGTGGCTAATATTATCAAGAAAAGAGTTCTATAGTAGAAACTAGCTATTTTATCATGATCAAAGTCTTTGGAAACTATTTTGCATTTTGTTAAAGTATATAATACTTACAAATATTCTTTTAATGCTTAAAAAGTACTTATAAAGGTGCTTTTTTTGTTGAAAGATTTGGCTATGCACCCTAAAAGGTATAGCTTTTAATGTTATTGCCACTATTTTATGCTAATTAGTGATATATTTTTGTAGCCTCTGTAATTGCTCCCATCCCTGGCCACTGGTCAGATTGGAGTACATGGGAACAGTGCAGTGCACCTTGTGGAGGAGGCATTCAGGTGCGTCGTCGCCGTTGCAATAGCCCACCTCCCCAGCACGGCGGTAAGGAGTGTATTGGCTGCAACCAGGATTACAAGTTTTGCAATCTGCATACCTGTCCTGAAGCAAAGAAGTCAACTTCTTGGACACCCTACATGAGAGTGAATCAAACAAAGGATGGTCACTTTGAGCAGCGACTGAGGTTCACTTGCCGTGCTAATGTACCTGATGAGGGCATGCTGAAGATTGGACACGTGAAAAAAGAGGAGAGGTTCTGCCGTGAGGGTAGTCGTAATTGCTTGGATTCTGGTAAGTTTTCTAGCAAAAAAACGTAATTTCTTCTATACCATCTCTTGTTTTTTTTTATGAGAATTTTGAAGGTATCGGGTAACGCATAAATTAAGAATCAAGAAAATTTTACCTTAAAACCTTATGTGTAGAAAAACTGCTAAAGTGTTTTTGATCAAATTAGTTTTAAATGTATACTACAATGCCTTCTGCTTCTTAAAATCATTTTTCATTCACATTTGATATATATGCTTATAATAAGCATCTACCACTTTGACTTATAAGCATTGATTGCAGATGCTTTTTATAAGCGTTATTTATCAAATTAATTTTAAATATATACCACAGTGTCTTTCACTTATTAAAATCTAATTGATATATATATGTTTATAATAAGCATCTACCACTTTTGCTTATGATAAGCATTGATTAGAATATGCTTATAATAAGCTTTATTTATTATACTTATATATCCTACAACTAATTTACCTCATTTCTATTTTATTATAGCTGTTTTAAGTTATGTTTGGCATTTTAGTTAAACATGAATTATATTTCCTAAATTTAGACTTGACATTTGTTTAAATAGAAATTCCATTTTGAAATTTACAAAAGGGTCTTAAAATATTGTTAAAATAATCTTATACTGTATTTTTGATTAAAAATTCAAAAAATTTTAAGTTATTTGTAAATTTTAATATTAAATCTAAACTCAAATATAAAATTGAATGCATTTGAATTTATATTTAACACTCAAATCTTATCATTTAGGCATGTTGCTAACTGAAAAATTGGACTTAAAAATGAATGTAAAATTGTAATCTTAATCTTTATTCATAATTGATTTACAATATAATAATAATCAAGAACCAGTTAAAAATTTGTTCACACATTTCATATGTTATCTGACCCACTTTTTTTATTTGTTTTATAAAATAACTAATATAATCTCATTAAATACTTCAGAGAATCCTACCCCATGAGAGAAATCTCTTGTGGCAAATTTTTTCCTCACCTGAGTTCAGGTAAATCTTTAGTAGGGCATGAAATTTTAAATTTAGAAAAATGTTTTTTAAAAAATCAAATTTCAAACAAATAATGACATGATTACCTGAGGATTAAGGTGTGGGGAAGTTCTTGAAAAACTTGTTTGCCTATTGATATTTTGAAAATGTTTTTATAGCATTTGAAACTTTGATTTATCTATATTTACTTTTCTCTTAAACTTTTAAAGTCCCGCAGTGGACTGACCGCAATGACGTCGTTCCCAGTAGAACACCAGCCTGCCTAGGAACTGAGGGTGCGCGGTATTGGTCTTCGTTAAACTGTTATACCTAAAAATGCTCGACTTCGTGCATAGGTTGTTGGGCTACCAAAGCTGAGGAGCCATTCCCTCTGCAGAGGATCAAAATTGCAATGGCATGTCTTCGGACAATCCTTGGGGATGTTTCTCTGACCGTCGCTAATAGCCCATTGTGCTGCTCTAGTGAGATGTAAATAAAGTACCTACCTGCCTCCAAACTTTAAAGTTTTGAAATACAAATGGAGGGTAAACAGAATTTTGGGGAAAAAGATTTATTTACATTCCAAAAAAAAATTTTTTTTTTCATCTCTGATATGGAAGTTTCATTCAGACGGTTCACCAGTGAGTGAATATAATTGACAATTGCTTGAGGTTGAGTATTCAATTGATTCATAAACAGTTTTTAATTGGAATCTTATTGTTCTCCTACTACCTGTTTCTTTCCTTTTTTTATTCTCAGCTGTAGTATTTTTCCTTTTGATTGTGGTCTCTGCAGAACCATTCATCTTTCAAACCAGGTAAAGAAAATTCTAAATTATCTGACAGAGCCGTAATGGCTCAGGGGATAGAGCGTTTGCCTTCCAATGAGGTAAAATGTCCTCAGTGGTTGACAAATCATGGGTTATAGTCCCCTTGCCGTTAGGCTAACCGTGGGAGGTTCTCGTAGTCTTCCTTTCTATGTAACCCAAATGCCGGTTAGTTCCACCAAAAAGTCCTCAATAAAGGCAAAATTCTCCCTATACTTGATCCAGTCTTCTGGATTGGATTCAAAATTACGAGACCGTAGTTGGACATTAGTAGTTGTAAACCCAAAAATTGGGTCGGCTGTTCAACGATGATTATAAAATAAAATACAAAATTATCAGATACGAAAATATACTAAGTTTTTTTTGTTTTTAAAACAATCTCCTAAAGCTTGATAGTATAAAGCAGCAATAATGATTCTATTAAAACTCAATCTAAATGATGAATGTTATTCAATTACTAGTTGCTGATAATGCTGACCGGCCTGTGTAGGGGGTTAGGAACTGTCCTTGCATCAGAAAGGTTCTGGGTTTGAATCCCGGGCAAGGCATGGATATTCTTTCCTTCTCTGTACTATCTGTCCTCACTGCGGGAGCGACGTTGACCCACCTAATATGGTGCCCCTGAGAAAGAGGCCAACAAAATCGTCTTGTAAATGCCTGAATTGACAGGTGTTAACACAGGTGGGCATTGGAAAAAGAAAAGAAAAAATTGCTCATAATTGTTTAGCTATTTTTTTTTTATTAAAAGTCGACAATTAAATAAATCTTGAAAAAGCTTTTTATTTTGTTTTACACATGATTTTATAAGTATAGGTGATTTTTAAAATTCATTTTTGTTAAATTTGATAAGTAAATATTTTTTTCCCAGCCTTTTTAAATGTTGATGGTGGTTGGTCTGTCTGGAGCCTGTGGTCTCATTGCAGTGCTACTTGCGGTGGTGGCATACAGTACCGTGAAAGAACATGTGATAATCCAAAACCAGCAGGAGGTGGTGCTGATTGTTACGGGTCTCCCAGAATTGATCGTCCTTGCAATATAGAATCTTGCTATGGTAAAATATCTATCTTTTGTTGAACTGGCTTTGCTTATAAGTTTATACTTTTTAAAATTTTGCTGCAATAGTACCTTTTTTCTATTATCAAATTATGAAACAAAATAGATACTATTGGTAATGTCGTTCCTTAGTGTTTTGTATTTCGATTCAAACTATTTTATAACGAATTTAAAATGAATGATTGTGGACTGCTTAAAAAAAAAAAAGAAAACTGTATAAATTTTGACACTTTGTTAGTGAAAATTCCATCTTAATGATTCAAGGTGACCCCAGCTACTATAATTAGTGTTAGGTATTAATTTGAAGAGCTAGACGTAAAATTTCTTTCTTTGAATGATTATACCTTTTTTTACGATTTTAGATTGTTAATAATTAAAATATGAAGGTATGTGTCGCAATACAGATAATCTAAACTCAATAAATTAATTAGGAGAGCGGTTGAAAGTTTGGGTACCTTAATGTTAAGCTTTCTTTTTTTCTTCTCTTTGTGTGTGTGTATTTTGCCTCAGAAATACGCTTAAATATTGGAAAGTTTTTAGGAAATCTAATTGTAAATAAAAATTTAAAAATAAGTTTTTTTTAAATAAAAAACATAATGTAAAAACTATTAGACTGGATTAATTTAAATTTTCTATGATGTCATTTAAAATGTTGTAAGAATTAGTATACCTCACACTTCAACCATTATTAAATAGTTAAAAGTATTTTTTTTATGAATTTTTTTTTACATTCAATTTTCATTTTGCTTTTAGTGCCTATCTATAATTGATACTTTTACTTTCATATCTGTAAAGATTTTTTTTTTTTTGTTTAATATTTATCTTTGATGCAATGGGTTTTCAATTTAATATATATTTTCCGGTTCTGGAGAATATCCTTTCTTCTGATGTCTCACACTTATTTATCTTTTTTTTTGTTTGTTTCTGAACCAGACATAGTTTCTAGTATTAAATCAGTGAACATTCCGCTATACAGTTTAACTTTGATACATAGTATAAGTGAGTCTTAATTTTAGTATCATAAAAGCTACATTCAACTTCAGTTTTGGTTAAAACAAAATTATTTTGTTGCACATTCCAAATTAAAGTGCAAAATCAAACATTATTATCCTTCCTCTTGTTATATTTTTAAAAAAATATCAAAAAAAAGAAAGAAAGCTGTATTTTATTACATAATATGTGAAGAAAGAATTGGGTCAATTTGTTTGCCTTTATCAGAATATTTAATAATCTTGTCCTGATCATGAAGAAAGAGTTAGTCTTTTAATTATTAAAAGTTGCCCCAAATCAAATGCATGAAATGAAATGATAAAAAAATTAATGAAAAGACTAAAAATAAGACTTTATTAAAAGTGATGATGGTATTCCTGAGCACTTGTTTTATGGTATGCCCTTTCTATTTCATTTTCCTGCTAAATAAGCTTTTTCTAGTTTCCTAAAAGTGTGAAAAATGTAAAGAATTTTTTTAAAAGTAATGTTGGCATTCACTTTTATTTTCAGTGTGTCTTTCTATTTTATTTTGTTGCTAAATAAACTTTTCTTAGTTTCCTAAAGTGTGAATTTTTTTCTTCAGATGTTGAAGGATGGGAAGAGTGGTCCGCATGGTCGTTGTGTGATGAAAATGAAGAGCAGCAAAGGAAGAGAAAATGTAAATTGGCCCCTGCTACTTATTGTGTTGGTTCCACTAAAGAAATAAGGATGTGCATACCTGGTCAGCAAGGTACGTCAAGTATATCTAATACTATCCACCAAGGAAAAGATGGTCGCAGAAAATTTTCTCAGCCTAGTATTTCCCCAGAACGTTTACAATTTCCCCCAAAATTACTGATTTTTTTAAAAAATTTTTTTCAAAATTTATTGTAAAAAAATTGCTTTTTTATATTTTGTTAAAATTTTTCGTTAAATTTAAAAAAAAAAAAATTTAACAACAGTTTTTGAATAAATTAGCCCATGTGTTTAAAAATAAAAGAAATCAAAGTAAATTGAAATAGTAATCATTTATACAAATATATACTACATAATTATATATATAATTTTTTTTCTTGCATTATAAAATTAGGTAGCATTTTTTTACTATAGTATTTAAACCAAAAATTTCTATACTTACTAATGTGCTAAAAAATTTTACTGAGAATTTCAACATGACTGACATTTTTTTAAAAATTAAAATGTGAACTTTTATCTGTATTTGGAGCCTATACATAACTGAATTGTTCCAATTTTTAAAAGTTTTTTTCTATTGTCCCTACTAAAGCTCTTTGTATTTTCATGAAATTTTTTATTCTTTGTCATGAAGTTCTTAATTTGAGGAGAATTACAGCTACTTAACACATTAAGCACTAGAAATATCATATATATTTATATATATTAAAATATTTCTTAATTCTTTAAGATTGAAGAGAAAAACTTTTGCATTGTTTTTATTTTAATTTTTTAATGTATGGAATAGCTTTTTTATGAATTAAATTGGTCTTTCAATCAATCCTTGAAATTAAATTGAGTTTTGAGCATAGTTTCTGGGAAGTTAATCAACACCCAAAACCCTTTTTATGTCAAATTTTAATTGGATATGAAACTTTCATTTTAATTATAGAAAGTGGGTATATTTTAAACAGGCAAAGGGTATGGCTGTTTCCCTCAATTATTTTTTATTTATTACTTTTTTTATTGAGATAGGATAAGAAAAATTCTAAAAAAAAATTACATTTTTTTTATAAAATATATAAAGAGAAAGTAACTAGATCCCCCTTTAGGATCATACTAAAGATGACAAAGAAACAGTATTGCTTAGTAGAAATTACTTTTTGCACAATTGGTTCATAATAACCATTGAGAAGAAGAGAGAATATAATCAAATTCATTTGTCAAACAGTAACCTGGAAAATACAGGGAATTTAAAAATAACAGGAAAATGGCTGGGAATTTTGTTTCTTATTTTCGTCTTTTAAAAAATGGTGACCACTCAAAGCTTAATCTATGGGATTTTTAAGGATGATATTTCAGTTATACTAAATTATTTCATTTATTATAGCATCATTTAAGTATGTTCAGCTGTTCCTTTTTTCCTCTAAATTTTCCCCCTAATTAAAATTAGTATCATTAACCCAATATAGCTGATGCAAGCGCACAATAATTTTGTTTCCTCTTTAATATAGTGTGTATAATATATACAGGAAAACACAAGGAATTTTTTAATTTGCTTTGAGTGGCAACTCCTTATTAACACTTAGCTATCGAATCAAAGAGATCTCTTAGTTAGTTGGGAAAAAAATGTACAGTAGCTAGCATATACTCTGGCGTAATTAGTTTGATCGCCAAAGTATTAACCACTAAAATTGTTTAAGAACTTAAAAGTTTAATTCTTTTATAGCATCTAAAGAAGCTCAATCAGATGAAGATGGCGTGCATGCAGCTCATGTTGCAGGTTCCTTCATTCTCGGTGTCATTGTAGGCTGCCTTCTCTCAGCATTTGGAATCTATTTCTACTTGAAAAAAAGAGCCAAAAACAGGACGCATACCCACATAGGTACTCAACTGATACCTGTAAAACCCAACACCTACGTTTCTGAAAGCGAGTGGAAAAACAATTACTCAAAAGTGCCCATCACAAAAGTGCCACTTCGCGAAGCTACCATAAAGAGAAATGGTAGTTTACGCGCCCAGCTGCAGTCTGATAACTTTTAAAAGTGCCGCAGTAATTACTACAGCTTTTTGTGAATTTGGCTTTTTAAAAGTGGAAAGAAATTGTGTTGAGGACGCTACTACAATGTGCCATATTGGGAAACTGTGTGACATATCAAGATGCCATTCACAATCAATTTGAGCTTGTAGAAACTTTTTTTTGTGTCCATGTCGTCTTGTGCAGTCATATTTTAAATTGTATATAAGATGTCTTATCTTACTGAGAAGCATTTGTAAAAAATTTATTTTATTATTCATTCTAAAAGAATGACCTTTTTTTGTATTACAAAGTGATGTTCTTTATTGTATTTATTGTGAAGCTTTTTATAAAGTTTTACTCATTTTTTTTAGAAAACAATAAGTATGTTTTCCTATGCATGCTAGACGAATTTTTACAGATTATTGAAAAACAGTTTACCTCTTATCAAAGCAAAATAAGTTTTACATTTATGGATGTGACATATTTTAAGGTATAACCAAACAATATTTTTATAATACTATTTGCTTAATTTCAGAAATGTAAAATTATGTGTAATGTTAGAGAAATTTCTTGCTAACAGTTACTTTATGTTAAATTGTAAATTCCGTATGCCTGCATGAGTATATTTAATGGTCATCTAAACATAAATACCGCTTGCATTTAAATTTCAGTATTATAAATCATTATTGAATTGTTTGGATATTGTTTGCCGCACAAGCGATTGTCACAGATTTTGTTCTTTCTAAAGTACTTTGTTTGTTCTGTAAGTAGATACAAATTCACTGCTGTAACAGGCATTTTCATAAACGCACTAAATTGCAATAAAAACTTTTTAAGGGAAAAAAAGTTGCAATTCTGTATGTTTGTCATAATTTTTAGAAACAATTTCTAATTTTATATAGGATTATAGCATGTTACTTAAACTTCTCTATCAGCAAAAATAAAAACAGCACTTGAAAATGTTTATTCAAGTGCTGTATTCCACTTTAAGTGCACACATTTTTTTTCAGAGAATAGTCTGATACAATTTTAGATTTTTATTGAATGTTAATTTAGTGGGTGTTATAAGAATATCAATTTGTCCTAAAAAGACTATATTATTTTTAATTAAAAAAACAAGTTTAGGACAAGAAGATAAAATCAAAATTTTTTTTTGCTTTCTTTTAAATAAACCCTTGAGTTACTCTTGTTTTGAATTTTCTAAAAAATAAAAGCAGTGACTAGAGTTTTGTGTTACAATCTACTCTTTATATCTCAAATTTGAAGGAACGCTAAAAAAAAAATTGAGACAACAAGTTCTGAACCAAATATGTTCTAAAAAGAAAATTTTTTTTTTAAATAATGTTCTGAAGCGTCAAGTCGTGGAATATCAGAATAAATACTAATAAAGATATTTGTGTAATAGTTGACAATAAGTCTAAATTCAGCAATGATAATTTTATTTGTAAAAGCAACACAAATATAATTATGCATTAAATATAAAACAACTCGTTTACAATAAACATACATTAATAAAGTTCATTTAAAAAAAAACTCTACCATTGTGGCCTGTTGCCATAGTTTTTGAAATTACTCAATCATTTTTCGAAGAATAGCTTCCAAGTTATCCTTTTCCATGATCTTGGAGCTTTTCATGAAACTTTTTAATATGCGGGCAGCATTTTTTCTTGGACACAGTAATGTTGAGTAGTGGTACATGATTATTTTTCCAAAAAAATTCATTTTTTACTTCGAAAAGTAGTCGACATAACAAGTTTTTGACAAGAAAGTCTTTGAAAAAATAATAATTAAAATTAGTATTAAGTGGATATGTAATGCTAAGGGAAAAAGTATTTTTTTGACATATTTTCAAGACGTAGAGAGTAATCTGTAATTTCTATGTTTATTCAAGTGCTGTATTCCACTGCAGGTTGTGTACCTTTACCTTAAGTACTTGTGCTATCGTTAACCTCTAAATACTACTGTGTAAATATTAGATTTTGAAATTTATTTTTCAAATTTATGCAATACTCACCAATATTGCCAATAGGACAATGCTGCTAAATTTTACTAAGCCACTCTGAATTTACGCATTAAATTCTTAATAACTGGCAGATAATTGAATAATTCGTTTCCTCTCAAAGTTGCTCTTAAAAAAAAAAAGAAGAAATTTTAAAGCCAGCTTTCCTGTACCTTAACATTTAGAAACAAGATTAATGTACTCCGACAAGATATTGAATTAACTCAAATAACCTAATGTGTAAAAATAAATTTCAAAACTTGATGGTACACAACGATTCTAGTTGTTGAAAGAAAACTATTTTGTAACATTTCATAGAATGCTCACTACAGAACAGTCATTATGTAAATATAATTCTAATGTGCCAACAAAGCCTTTATTTATCATTTGTTAAAACTTATGCCAACTGAAAAATCAACAGTTGATTATTTAGCTTGTATAGCATTTCATTTTTTTTTAAACTGTTACGATTTGTATATAAAATTTTATACAGATAATGCTTTCATGGCTTATTTGCTTGTAAATTCATGTACAGTATGTGTTTTGTAATAAAATAATAAAAATGTTACTACTTTAAATTTGCTATTGTCTTCATTCAAAATTGCAAAAAAAATTTTTTTGCTGGTGTTAGTACAATGAGGAATAAAAACGGAGCACTTTATATAATAGTGGGTTTTAGGGATTGATGTTTTATGTACTATTTTATTTAATTATAATATCCGTCGTTGAACAGCCGACCTAATTTTGGGTTTACGACTACTAATGTTCAACTCCTTAGCCTTGTAATCCTGGATCAAGTATTGGGAGAAATGTGCCTTCGTGGAGAATTTTTTGATGGAACTAACCTGCATTTGCTTTATATGGAGAGGAAAATCTCCCACGGTTAGCCTGATGGCAAGGGGACTCTAACCCATGATCCGTCTATCACTGAGGATATTTCACGTCCACACTGTGGCCGGATGCGGATTGATTTCGACCAGCCATCGCTGGGGATTCGAGCTCTGTTTACGTCATTGGAAGACGAGCGCTCTATCCCCTGAATCATCGTGGCTCTTATTTACTATTTATTGCAAGCAATGTCTTAAATGAGATAATCCACAAAAGATTACATTTTCCAAATAAGCAAGCCTACGGATGATCTAGTGTTCTTAGCCCTGAAGATGTGGGGAGCACACTGATCCTAAACGAATTACTGAAAGTTTAAATTTTTGTAGTTTATAACATACATTGAATTCTTCTAACGAATAAAAAAAAAATGCTGAAAGTCTCGCTTCTTTAAAAAAAATTCCATGCACAAAAAGGTGTTAAATAAACTGCTGTTTGTAGAAAATGCAACACCATGAAAGAATCATCAGAATCAAATGAAATTTAATGCAGAAACGACTTGTACTGATACAAATAAATGATGAAATTTTCAAAACAAAAGAAACAAATTAAGCGTCCGAAATCAGTATTTGGTGCAGCCACCACGCGCTGCAATAAGTGCTGCTATACGACGTGGCATGGAGTCAAACAGATGTTGAATATCTGCTTGAGGAAGAGAATTCCATATCGCTTGTATGCGCAACCAAAGTTCGTCTTTGGAAACTGCAGGACGCGGATCACGAGTGAGACGCCGACCAACCATATCCCACACGTGCTCAATAGGCGACATATCCGGCGAATAAGCAGGCCAAGGAAGAAGTTGCATGCGTTGTGCTGAACAGAAGTCTCTAACAGTCCGCGCAACATGTGGGCGTGCATTATCCTGCTGAAAGATAGCTCCAGGGATGCCTTGAAGGAAAGGAACGACTTCGGGCTGTAGCACTTCACGGACGTATCTGTTGCTATTGAGATTACCCTCAATTCGTATCAAATTGGATCGTCCATGATACGAAATCGCACCCCAGACCATAACTCCGGGTGTTCGACCACTATGTCGTTCAATAATACACTCAGGAAGGCAGCGTTGACCGGCATAACGTCTAACACGAACACGGCCATCATGGGTCCACAAATTGAAGCGTGATTCATCTGAAAAGACAACTTGGTGCCAATCAGCTCGCCAGTCTCTGTGCTCAAGAGCCCACTGCCGACGCAGCCGTCGATGATCCGCCGTGAGGGGAATCCTGTATAATGGCACCCTTGCACGCAATCCACGGCGCAGCAGACGACGACGAATTGACGAAGCCGACAATTGTACACCTGTAGCAGTAGACCAATGTGCTGCCAGCTGCCTGGAGGAAGCTGTGCGATCATTCACCGCCATGCGGAGCAGGTGTCGATCATCGCGCTCTGACGTCACCTTCTGTCGTCCAGTGCCTGTTTTTCGAGTTGTTCGGTGCTCGTCGGTCCACTGCTTCCAAACTCGCATCACTGTGGAACTGTTCCGCTGCATACGAGCTGCTATTGCGCGATAGGAAAATCCTCCTTCTCGAAGGCCGATTATCCTCCCTCGTTCAAACTCCGTAAGTTGCTTGAATTTCTTATTCTTCCGTCGTGGAGGCATACTCAGGTCTCACTAAACGTTTGCCACTAACAAATAATCATAGACTATTTTCAACGTCCCGCTACAGCACTTTATTTATACGCTTTCAGCATCAATTCAGAGGGCGCTGCGCGCGCCACGCACGCGCGATGGCTCTGAAACTTTATTAATTTGCATAATATCCTATAATTGACATTTGCTGCGAATTTCATTTGATTCTGATGATTCCTTCATGGTGTTGCATTTTCTACAAACAGCAGTTTATTTCTTATTTATTCCTTTCCAGTCTTATGGCTGCTGTTGATCATAGATTTCTATTTTCAACGAAATATGAGGTTGGCAGGGCGCTGGACTCGCCGCTTTCGTGAAACCGGGAGTTCGAATCCAGTCGCCCAAAGACTCCCCGTGTAGTAAATGGCGACTATTACACGTTAAATCTGTCGAGTCACGAAGTCCTCCATGTTCCCATAACAAATTATACCTCTGGGGGTACTGAATTGGAAATTGATCGTTCTCTGGTTCAGATCAAAATTACGATTTGTGGATGTTTAAAATGGGCCCGCCGTATAAAAAGGTGTGGCAGAAGTCGAATTTTTGGCCATAGATGGCGCCCCTTACCTTAAAGGCCTACGACAACAACGAAATATAAAACTAAAGGTAAATTTACAAATCCGAAAATCTCTTAATTGTTAAGTATTGGTCCTCGTTAACCTGTGCTATCGTAAAGTGCTCGACTTCGCGTGCAGGTCGTTGGGCTACCGAAGCGGGGGTGCCATCCCCTCTGCAGAGGATCAAAATTGTGATGGCATGTCTTCGGATCATCCTCAGGGATGTTTCCCAGACCGTCGCCAATAGCCCATTGTGCAGCTCTAGTGCGACGTAAATCAACAACAACAACAACAATCTTAATTGTTAAAGTGAACACATTTCGAGCTATACATATTTATATGAGCAGTTATGGCCTTCTAATAAGGTGATCCGGGTTAGAATCCCAGCGATGGCTGGGTCGATACGAAATCCGTATACGGCTTGCACCGACCACAGTGCTGACGTGAAATATCCTCAGTGGTAGATGGATCATGGGTTAGAGTCCCCATTCCGTTAGGCTAACAGTGGTAGGTTCTCGTGGTCTTTCTCTCCATGTAACGCAAATGCTGGTTAAAAAGAGTCCTCCTTAGTAAAGTTGTCAACAAAAAATAGAAAAATTAAGATGAAAAACAAAACTAGAAAAATCTCAGTCTAGAGAAAATAAAGATGAAAAAATAGAACAAGAAAAACCTTTGTGGCTGAGTGAGGCAAAATCAGGCTAAAATGCATTTCCACGCGCTATGAAGAGGTTGTGAGGAGCTAATGTCGTTAACAAGGGAATCAACATTTGTGTAAATAAATCACAATTCCAGGGCATCCAGATGAGCTGATGCGACTCAATTTGAAAAAAATTTTGGCATTGTAGAAATTTAATTTATGCTCAAGATTCCAACAATGTGCAGCAATTGATCTATTGTATTCTTGAAAACGAACATATCTATCGTGTTTCCTTAAGTCCGAATTTTAAAGCGCGTTTCGCTTGATACATGTCGACTGTTATCTTTAATCTTTATATTTTTGAAGCGGATGAAGTTTTTTTTAATCAAATAATATCTAACTCTTTCAGTTTCTGCAGATTATTTATATAACTTAGAAATTATTGTCTTAAATTCTGCTTATTAGATTAAGAATATGATTAGTCAAAAACGGAAAGCTTAACTATAACTGGTGAAAAATGATCGTTAGAGATCCCCGATTAAATAAGTTAAGAATAAAATGCAAAAGGAAATGGGCAAGGCCTTGTTCAAATTTTAATGTACAGGCGTGTTCTTACAAATAATAAAACCTTTTAGTTGGAAGTGTTATAATACGTCATACGTGTAATAAATACGTCAGAATATTATTTCAATACGGCACAAATCGATTCAATACCGTAAACAATAAATAATATAATAACATAAATTTAGTGCCTCTTTAGACACTGTATCTAGGGTCATGCAAGTTCGTGCTATAATAAGGTCCTGGCATCTTTGCAACTTAAGCATTCGACTGACGAATTAAAAACATGCAAATTTTTATAATTCTTTCACTTATATATTGGTTGTTACAAATAAGTTCCGCCGTTCGCCACAAGATGGCACTACCAGAAGATTACGTAGAAATTAACTGATGTTAAACGTCTTAATGTAAATTTGTTCATCTGGTAACAACATGTATACGTGATTCCGTAGTAGCATTACGTAATTGTTTTCACGCAAAAATGTCAAGTTTTGTGGTAAATAAGCGCCATTTGCCGAAACTTTTGATTTACTTCTTTAATTTGAATAAATCTCCAGCTGAGGCGCATCGATTGCTTGGAGAAGCATATGGTGAGGGTGCTTTCCGTGAGAGAAGTTGTGAGTGGTTTTAGAAATTTAACCCCTTGTGTCGCCCGAATCCAGTTAGGTACCAGTATTTGTGATACCCGAGCTGAGCAGGAGAAAAATTAACGTTTCTATTTTGTGAAGCCCGAGCTGAGTTCGTTTCTAGTTTAGGATACTTAATTCACTATTTTCCTAATAGATGGCAATAGTGGTCCTAGTTTTTCACCGATTACGACTTTAGTCGAGGGAGGGAAATGTGGGTGGGGGTTTGGGGAATGTACCATGCTGTAAATGATTTGTAAAATTTATGTATATAAAAATTATATTGTTGCGTTTTTATATTATATTATACTAGTTATATTATATTTAGATTCAAAATTTGTTTAATTTGCTCTATTTGAATAAGATGTGCGTGTAATCCATTACTTTTTTATATGTATGCAGGGATGCCAACTGCTTTGCTTTCTGGAATAGTTTTAATAAGGTGGAAGCAAATTATATAGTTAAATTCGTTAAAGAAGGATAGTTACGCCTACTTTTTAATAGAGTAATCAGTAGATGGATGCTTCAACGTTGCATTTTAGATAGTACTTATAATTTTTGATATTTAGTGGTGCGAAGATTACTTAAATTGAGAAAATACTAAACTTAAAGTAACTTAAATTTCGTTACCACTAGAATATACTATTTTACAAAGCGGAGCAAGTTGGCATCTCTGTGT